CCTATTCTGTGTTACCATTACGTTAGTTATCTATTATTATTATTATTATTACATTGTAGTTTGTTATTGAACTATAAACGAAAGAAAAGAAAAGAAAAAAAAAAAAACAAAAAAAATAGAAGAAATAAAAGAGAAAAAAAAGAGAAGCTTTTAACTTCGCCGTAACTCTCTCCTTTTTCCAACGCGAAAAACAAACAAACAAAACGAGAAACAACAATCGTGTGCGAAAGTTTTTTTTTTTCTGTATATATTGCATACATGCATATACGTTACACGCATACATACGTACATACATATGTACATACGAATGATATGATGAAAATTGTTTAAAAATTGAATGATTTTGAATAATCTGAGATGTTGTTCAACTCTTTTGTATGAAATAATTATTAAATTTATAGTAATTTTCGATCTAATTTATATTTATGTATGTATGTATGTATGTATGTATTCATGCGAGACACGAGTGTGTATGTGTTTAAGATAAAAAACAAAACAAAACGAAAAAAAACAAAAACGGAGGTTTAACCTTACAATTTCTTACTTTATTAAAAAAAGGAACAAGAAAAAGAAAAAAAAAGAAAAAAAAACAGAAAAGATAAATTAAAACAAAGGAGATATAATTAGTAAAACCGAACGTTAACGATAATAATGAAAAAAAAAAAATGATATTATTATATTATTATGATAATAAAAAATTGATAAAACAATTCGAATGGGGGATTCCTTACCCCACGCGTATGATAAATAAATATATAAGATTAAACAAATGAACTCAATATTAAGGATTTACTATGGCGATTATTGATTCTTTTATTTTTTCTGTTTTGTTTTTTTGTTTTAACATATTATGTACATTATCGATCAGTTGTAAATAAACGATATCACGTTTAATTTCTTTTCTTTTCTTTTCTTTTCTTTTTCTTCTTCTACTTTTTGAAAATTGAACAAAAATAATATAACATAATATATATATATATATATAAACGATCAAACACACATGGCATACAACACATACACAAAAATAAAAAAGAAAACAAAGTTTTATTAGAAATAAACGAAAACAAAATTTTCTTATAAATGATCGAAAGAGAGAGAGAGAGAGAGAGAGAGGATCGAGTGTCAACGAATCGAAACAAACTAACAAAGCTAGATCATTCTAGTCGAAACTTGATTATGATTAACAATGATGAAAATTTAATATAAATCAAATAATTAGGGTAAACCAAAAGTTCGTGCGTTTTTTTTTTTTCTTCTTTTATTTTATTAAAATACGAAGTAATTAATTTTATTGGCTACAAAAAAATTTTTTGCAATATCTGAAACAACACGATAAACACGCGAGCTTGTTTTTGGTTCACTTTAATAAATAAAAGAATATTTTTTAAGAATAAGAAAAACAAAACGAAACGAAAAAGAAGAAGAAAAAGCAGAGGTGGAGGAGGAAGTGGAGGAGGAGGAGGAGGAGAAGGAGGGGATCAGGAGGGAAAAGGGTAACGCAAAAAAGAAAGAATAAAAAAGAAAGAAAGAAAGAAGAATAAAAGAAGAATAGGAAAATAAATTACAAGATGATACAATAATAAAGAATAAAATGTGTTAACAACGCGTATTAATGAGAATTGATGAATTTTCTTTTTTTTTTTATTTTCTACGTTAAATCGTTAATTTTTTTTTCTTGTCTTTGATTTTTTTTTTTTTTTTTTTACCAAAACTACGTAACTTTTCCTATTATATTTATACTTTATTTTTTATACTTTTATTATTATTATTGACACACGTGTGCGCAACGATACAAAAAAAAAAAAAAAAAAAAAAAAAGGAAAAAAAAATCATATGACTCGTGGATAAATCGAAGAGAAAACAAAATGATAGAAGAAAG